GCGCAGGACATGACCTTTTTGAAACATGTCGCACATCGGGAAATTTTCAACGAACTGAAACGTTTATAATCATTTTGAAAGTTATCCCATAGAATTTCATTCCGGCTAAAAATAAATTTGTCCGCTATTGTAGTTCTTCAATTACTGTACTGAATCGTTTTTTTTTTCGATTTGGAGCTCCCAGAAAAAGTGACGACTCTTAATAAAATATTTTGATGCCTCGTTTCCTCTTAGTCTGCAAAACGGATGCGAGTACTTGTTCCAAGCCAAAGACGACGTCGAAATGCAAGAATGGGTGAATCGTATCAACTCAGCCGCCAAACAAGGAGAAGGCGGCCCATCCAAGGTGCAGACGATGCCCGCCTCTGGCAGCGGCGCCGGCGGCAAAGAAAAAGGACGCAAAGGCGGATTCCTCACCATGCTGAAGAAATGAGTCTGAGGATATTTTACAGCAAAACAAAAAAAAAGTACGACGCAAATATAATCGCAGAACGACAAAATAAAACGGAAAGACTATCCTCGAGAAAAAGCTTTCTCGGATCCGTCAACAACTTCGGGACACCCGTCCAAGGAAGCGGCTATTTGTCAAGATTTTATCCCATTTCGAACGAAAAAAAAAAAAAAGAGATAATGTAGAGAGTGATGCGAGTAGGAGTGTTTTTTCGCCCCCAACCCCTAAGAATATGTAGCTCTTACATTATTCGCCCGTTCTCGAAAAAAAACAAACCATTTTGCATGCAAATACGAGATTCGCTTTTTCGGAGAGGATGAAAGAGAAAAGTTTGCGTATGAGTGAGTTTTACGTTCTGGGGAATTGAGCAAATTCGGTAGCTGAAAGTCTTCATGCACTTGCTTTGTGTTGTTTTTTTTTTGTTTTTTTTGACAAACCAGCAGCTTCCTATTGCATATGACCCGGTTGACGAGACCAAGTTTCACGTATGTACGTATGTATGGGTTCATTCGCTTTGAACAATCGGCATTAGACGAGTAGGATTTAACTTGCAGCTAAATATTTTTGTTTCCACCGGGGGTCACATCCAGCGTTTAGTTGCCGTCATTCTGCTTTGAAGAGTGCATTCGTGTAAGCTGGGCTTTCTGACTTGAATCAATGAGATGCTGTTGATGTGTTCTCGGAATTTCTCTCTCGGCTTTTGTCGAGGTTTAACTCATAGTATTCGCTTGGATTGCTTTCAAACAGCCGTGATTTAGGGCTGGAACATTTCAATATGCGTTTTTTTTTTTTTTTTTTGTGTATTTCTCCACAGTGCTACCTGAGCTGCTGTTGTAAAGCTGAGTTCATCTGGAGGCGTAGTTGAAAAATGTGTCGATGTGTTAGGACAGAGACTTGGAAGCGAGTTATTTTGAAACACAACATGCGTGCAAAATTAGTAAAATTAAGAATATGTGGTTGTTGGAAAGTTTCCCGAAGTGAATGCACGTAGAAGATTCGAGATCAGAGTTCATGGCACATGTGAAATATTCATGAATGGCTGAGGAGAAGACATTCACTGGTATGAGTGGCAACACACTGCCATGTGTTTGTGATGATGAAGCTAGTGAGGAGTTGCTGTTTTTTTGTCCAAAGAGCACCTCGATTTTCAATGCTATTTGCATAAGAAATTCTCGCTTTATATGTACAGTACTAGATAAGTGTCTTAATGTGGGTAGATGTCACTGACAGTCACTATTTTGTCTTAGTTTGACGCGAAGTCCCATATGTGCTTTTAGATTCCCTCTTTTGCAATTGATGGAAAAAGGGGTGAATTTGCAATGCTGAAGTAGCTACCGTGGGACTGCTAGTCCATGTTCAATTTTTTAGTGTCTTTGAGGAAATTGAGTAGTTGTGTGTTAGATTGCAGTCTTTTTGGGAGAATGTCGATGGATTTGGTGTAGTTCGGCTTCTTCTATCTGTCAAGCCTGTGAGGGGTGTCCGGAAAGTTACTGTGCAGTTGACCATTTTTTATCCGAATTTTCCTACATTGCTACGGTGGTAGAATTTTCTCTTGTGTGTGTATGTCAAATTTTAAATTGAAATGAGTTTCTCTGGTGTGCACATGAGTGTTTGCACAGCAGCACAGGTTTTACGTAGGATTCTATCGGCTGAATGTAAAATTTGTGGGCACCCATGTATAGCACCACCTCGAACCATGAAAAGGAACTGCCAGATGAACTCAGATTTTTAACAGTGTAAGAAGGTAATTCTTGGGCGCATTTTCATTATTGGACGTCGCTGGAGTTGATAGGACATGGGTCTGAATTCGCCCCATGATTTCATTTATATTTTCCTCGCGCATGTGTGAATCTACCATTAGCAAGAACTGACGAGATGTTCAGCACTGGAAATGAATTTTTGCGTCTTTTTTAGAGAGAGAGAGCGTCGCGTTTCTTTTTTCCCCGGAATGGAGTGATGCTTTCGTTTCTTTTGAGCACCGAAGGCCCCCCGAAAAACTCGGAACATTTGAATCAAAACAAATGACTTGAGTTGAAAGCACGGTTTTCTGAGAGTTTTGGCACGGAATTGTCTTGGAGAGAGAGAGAAGCTTCTACGCAACTTTTGAGAGTGACTAAACGCTTGTTGTGACCCGGAACAATCTCATTTTTTTCCCCTTCTCGTATACCGAATGCAGTGTGATGTGCTTCCAGTCATCCCCGCGCAGCTTCTGTTCAAAAGACGATTTCTGAGTCCTCACACTGCCATCTTCATGGATTTTCTGTGTGCCTCCGCATAAGCCAGGTTTTATAGCTTTTTAGACAATTTTTTCACCTCTTGTTCGACATTCGATCAATTCCTTCATTCCAATTCCTTTGATCTGTATCGTCGTGGCTTACGTGTTTTAATTACGTGTTCGCTTTGAGTCGTCGTGGCACTTGCTTATTACTCTTTCTCCTGTATCTTAGTGTGAAGGCGTTCAGAAAGACTGCAGTGTTCCGGCTATTTATTGCTTATGTTGATGGGAGCTGAGGAATTAAAGGAAATTTACGTTCATCAACACTTCATGTGATTTATTGATCTGCTCTTATTGCTTTGATGATAACCCAGCTGTGCATTTTTTGGAAATTACCTGCATGGGTACGGAGTACTGTACAGCAGTACATGAATCTAGCATTACTTTACCTGACGGACGAACTAATTGAGTAAAGTTGACTGACTCATCAATCGACTGTAGTCAAATTGATGTCCTAGCTATAGTACAGTGATGAATTCAGAAATGATGTACACTTCCCCAAAACATCAACTTCTTAAAGATTAAAAGATCACGATGCATCAGAAACTACAGAAAGTGCTTCAATGGACCATCGACTGAAGTAGAAAATTTTCTGATGCTAGGGTTATGTATACTGGGCATGCTAGTACAATATTGTGCACAGTTATGCTGTCCCTCAAAGTTTGGACATAATGGCCTGTAAATTGCAGACAAATGATTGCATAGAAGTACGATAGAAATGGGAGTGTATGCATGATGTATATAAATATTGTGAAATATGCAATAATTTCTGAGCATTTCAAAAGTGACATATATTGAAATTCAATGAATAATAAAGCAATATACGTACATTCAGCACAGAATATTCAATTTACATGTGAGTCAGGTGAGAATCTTCTGTTGAAAAACGGAAAAGGACCAAATATGTAGTGCTGTAGTTATTGAAATATTTTCTTAATTTCTGTAATGAAATGTCTCACAGATTGCCCAATTTTCATTGGTAAATTAATCTGATGAGTAAGCAGCAGCATCAGAATCATAAAAAGTTGAATCAGAGTACTGCATGCTGTTAATATGAATACAGCAGTACAGTACAGCTAGTGCGTATGCTCTAAAACCATGAATTGTTCTCAGAAATTCAAAAAGTGATCGAATTGCCACTATGCTGCAACCCAAATTTTAAAAATGTAGCCGCGCGCATCTGGTGCTAAGAAATCTCCAGCACAAGAAGAACAAAAAAATAGCGCGTATAGGTCTTGTATATATATATAAGAGCAAGAAATGTTTGTCTAGCTTTACTGCATGCAAAATATACGGCTCGTGACAAATTACAATGTACAGTACAGCTTGTATGTGCCAGCACAGCTGGACAGCAGCTACAAAAAGCACATTACTGCTGTATAAGCAATGAAATAAACTTTTCCGCGTCATATATAATAAGAGGGCTTATATCATCTCAGCATATAAATTCTGTACACTCAATGCAGTGTATATTCTGATACAATGCCAGTACAGTATATGAAAGTTAATTTAGGTGTCCATTCTGATGTTCGCGCGTATACTAGCTGATGTACAGAGGAAATCTTCCGGGCAACCCTAAAATCACGCCTGCTCTGGATTACCAATGCAGGTTATTCTAAGTTACTGTAACTGAAAAGTACAGTACCATACTTGCGACACCTACTCGTAAAGTTTCTAACCATGGCAAGTAGGATGTAGAAAGCTCCCGCGGTTGGCCGCGCACTTCCCCATAGGTCCGTTGTTGGTAATGAAGAAATTACTGTCAATTCAATTCTTAGACTCGCCAGTGACATTGCGCGTTGCCCTTAATTGTCAATTACAGCATTGTCTTTTGATTGATGCCGCTGAGTTCGTATCGCGTCATGCGCGATTAATTTAGCGTTGCAGTTCGTCTGTCACATTTTGCTCTCCGATATACTCGGATTGTTCAGGTTTCAGGTTGTTAATCGTGAACATCCTATTACTGTAGATGAAGAACGATTTGCGAACATTTTGAAGGGCCGTAAAGATTTTTTAATTGCAATATTTTAATTGTAATAATTAGAATGTGACTCGTAATTTTACTTTTGATTCCATCGTTAAGCGGATTTGAAATTTTGATAGCGAGGCTATATTTGTGCTACTGCATTTGTTAGCTGAAAGAAATCAGTATCGACACGCGCGGATGAGAGGTTATGTTCTATATGTATGGGCACTTGAGTTCACCTGCATCGGTCGAATAAAAATGGTGCTTTAGTTTTGTGAGTAGGTCACGGATCATTGATATCTCCGAAATATTTCAGACCACTTGTGTGTAATCCAAGAGAACGTCCGAATATGTCGAAATCCGTCAAAGAGGCTCGGTTCGGACATCGAGGGGCTGTGTACGCCATCGATTTTGCAATTCCTGGAGACTCTGGACCTGAACGGATTGTAACTGGTGGCGAAGACGCGAAAATCATTGTATGGCCATCAGAAAAAGATTCGGCGCAACGATCTCTTAAAATCGAGGGCCACACGGCCCCTGTTACAGCCTTGAAGTGTCACAAGGATCTCGTAATCTCCGCCTCGAAAGACAAGACCATTCGTGTCACTAACATCTCGTCGTTACTTGCTCGTACTCCGCGCACCAGTTTCTGTAAGCCACATTCAGGTGCAGTGACGAGTCTTGATATCAGTCGAGGCGTTCTTGCTTCTGGAGCCCACGATAAGACCGTCAAATTGTTCGATGTGAGAACCCTATCCTTCAAAGGCTCAATTGTTGCGCATAACGGCATCGTTAATGATGTTGCGCTGTCGGACGACGCAGCGTTGATCGCTTCCGTTGGCACTGATCGTCACATTTTCATTCATGACATACGCTCAATGAACCAAGTCGCTGATTTTCTCGCTCCTCGCAATACTTACCCTACATGTGTGACGTTTGCCCCAGAAAGTGACGCGATTGTTGTTGGATTCACCGATGGAAAAATACGATTGTACGACACTTCCAGTCCTCAAGTGCTTCAGACTTACGTTGCTCTTCACACTGAACGAGTCACTGCCATTAAATTTTCTCCGGAACGTTCAACAATCTTCGTGAGCGCTTCCCGTGATTGTCGTATAGCCGTTGTTGACCCGATGGAGGGACTGCAGAAACAGGTCTTCGAGATTCAAGATCAAATCAATTGCTTGGCATTTTCTCGAAAGCACAGTGGGAAAATCGCGTTTGGATGCGCCAGTGGCAATATTGAAGCCTGGTCTGTAAATCTGGAAAAGGTTGACGAGCTTCCACCGTCGTCCACTTTCAGGAAACCTATGGGTGAAGATTTGCTTGACGATACAATTAATCAAGTTGAAGTTCCGTCAAACGTTCTGACGCGAAAGCTCCGAAAAAGCTGCATTCCATCGGTTGACCGAGGTAAGTGGTTAAAACTAATTCCGTGCATTTGTTTCCACGTCTGTCTAATCTTTCTATGAAGATATGAAAGAAAGTGAATTGAAATGTGATTCAATTTAGATCTTAAAACTTCTTTCGCCTAACTTCATAGGTTAGTCCCATCTGACTTAGTGCCACAAAAAATCTCCATCCTGTTGAAAAAATTGAGCAGAAATTGAAGTAATCCAGGCATTTTTCCGAGGATATCATTGGATTATAAGACTTTTGACTGAGAATCACATCCCAATGCTGACATCCAACTCAGGATGAATGTGAAAAATCTATTTTTGAATTTACATTGTTGAAAAATATTTATTGTTGCATGTTACCCTCCTAAATCGAAAATAGAAGGAAGTGGAAGGTTTTGCAGAAGCGTAGGTGATTCCTCCATGATGGCAATTGATATAAAACCAACTGAAATGCACACAAAATATTGAGAAACAGCTGTGATCTTTTACTAGACATCATATGTTTAAATATCTCATTCATTCTGCCTTGATACAGATTCGAAAATAAAATATGAAAAAGTACATTTAAGCTTTAAAAATTATATTTTGGCTTCTTCTCTTACAAAAAACTCTGATTGGCCTAAAATTTCTTCAAGTAAGCTTATTTTTCCTATAATGGAAACTCTGCACTGGACCTCTCTCTCATACAATACCCTCGATTTAGCGCTACCCTCGCGTAGTGCTAGAAAATGTGCCAAGACAGAGGGTAGCAGTAAAACAGGGTTTGACTGTATTTCAAAAAATGTTCATTGATTTCTAATGAACGTTGTTCATTATTGATTTGCTTGCAGGTGAATCCACTCATTCCAGCGAGGACACGAGTGACACCGTAACAATTCCCAGGAGCGAGTATGATTCCCTCTTGGACCGAATTTCTTTCTTAGAGAAGCGCTTGGCAGGCATCAATCTGATCTAATTTCCTCTGGCATTCGTGTTTTTGTAAATTTTTAGACAGATGATTGAAAATCGTTTTGCATGTTCTTATTCTCTGAAAGAAAATCGGTTGTCCTTAGTTCTGGATTCAGTTTCGAATCACGATTTCTTTGTTTTTTCTTTTTACAGGAGATTATTTCTTTGTTTTTTCTTTTTACAGGAGATAAAATGAATATTTATGGTGCTTCCTCGCGATTGCTGAAACCGCTGGCTTCTCCGGCTGTGTTCAGCGTGCGGTTTGCGCGGAAACCTCGTTGGGTTCCGGTTGCTAAATCCAAAATGTTCCGCGTTAATCCGCGACACGTTATGTCTGAGTTGGAAGAAAAGGAAATGTGGCGGCTGCAGGACAACTATAAACTTTCTTTGAAATCCATTCAGTAAGTGATTTTTTTTTTGGTACTGTGTACTGTAGTTGGCTTTGATGTGCGCATCCTGAAATGTATTGTGAAAAAAGCAGTGATGGTGTGGACGTGTGGTATCTGCACTCGTGAATGTTGTTTTCTGAAAATTAAAGTGCGACTAATGCAATCATGTGAGTTAAAACGTTTTCGAAACGTTTTTTATGTCGTGTGGTGAGTTTTATTTCGCTGTCAGATTAAAGGAAGGCTTTTGTTGAAGTGATGGTTGACTGACGTTCAAATTGAAGAAATACCGTGTTTAAATTATACTTATGATGTCGTTTGGAAATGTAAGTTTATATTAATTTTATAACGCGCCCAAATTCTTCGACAGATAGGTTCTAAATTTCTGGCAGATTTGATTGCCCCATCAACTTCATTCATAGTTTCCAGGATGGACCAAAAAGTTGATTGTACTTGAACCATGAAAATGTCGTTTCTCTTCAATCATATTACTGTAATAATAATGATCTGAAAAATAAGGTAACTACGATTTTTTTTTTTTAAGTTGAATTAATATCGTGACCTACGTATCACGTGGAAGAGTAGAACTGGGAATAATTTGAAGGTTGAAACTTGCTCTTCTAATTTTCAGTTCTGAAAACATTTTCACCCGAGTCATGTTCTTTTCAAAATTTCCTACTTTTCAGAGCTTTCTTTGCTGAGGAAAACAAGCGTTTGGCGGATACCGGAAGCGTTGGTCTCCGTCTCCACCAAGAGGAAGAGGAAGAATTTGAGAGAGCTCTGGCGTGGAATGACATGGAGAATGCGAGAATAGGGAATATTCGTCGAGAGCGACTCACTAAAGAAATATCCGATCTCGAAACCCAAGTTTTATTACGGATCGAAGAGCACCTTGCCGAAGTTGTGAGCATGCGTAGGGAATCCAATGCCGTTGTCGCTGCTCAAATGGTGAGTTTTCAACTTTGCGATAGTTGTTTTATCCATCGGTGGTTGTTTTCATTCGGAAGGTCACGATATTGATTCAACAAGTTCCCCATTGCTTGCATTTGGTGACCAGTTTAGAATTTTATGAGGTTATCCAGATTCTAGAAGATCAATAGAAATTAAAGGAGTTGTTTTTGCTAAGATTGTTCAGTCGAGTTTTGAGGTACAAGCAAAAAAATTCGAGTAAGGTCGGTTTAGAGTTTGAGAAAGAAGCATTTAGGTAGAGAAAGAAGCATTTAGGTAAAAAAAGAATTGAAAAAAATTGTAATTGGGGATTAAATAGCTTCTTAAATGAGTTGACAGGATGTTGAACTTGGAAGCAAGGGTTCATCTGCCCCATTAGTCCTTCACTTCCTTTCAGAACACATAGAAGTTACATTTTCTTGTTTTTATCTTTCCTTTGTCAATGAAATAATAGCCAGAAGGTCTCCAGAAAATGCGATGCGAGTTATAAAGGTTTCCGAGGGAAAGCCTTTGAGTTAAGGAGGGTTTTAAGGATTTTTTTCTAGGGAAATTCAGAGAGAGGGCTAATTTTTTATATTGGAAGGTAGGCCGTACAGACCTTTTCTTAAATTTTTTCTTGGGAATAAACATAAAAACCGGAAATCTCCTGAATTAAATTAACTAGACTGAATCCAACCCATCCTAATGATCAGGAATCACAAAGCCCTGATACGTTGAAGTGAAACTCATCGTATTCTCGTCATGTATCCTTGGTTTCCAGGAAGCATCAAAGCAGTACATCACGGAAGACATGGTGGACAAAGCAGTTGAGGAGGCATTTTCGAATCCAGTCGACTACAATTTCGCTGTCGACGCAGGTGGTGGCATGTATCGGGGTCGAACAACGAACTCACTGGCTTTGACGAAAGAAAATGTCGAGGTCTGGGATCCGGAAGACCATTCACCTTCCGTACCCTGTGAAGACGTGTTCCGGGAAGCACGCAGGAAACGCGATAAACTGTTGGACGAATCTCAACAGGCAGTGGGATGAAAGTAGTGTGTTCTGTGGTTGGAAATAAGTTGGCTTGTTATTCTCGTTGCTGTTGTTGTTCTGAGTTGTGTCGATTCTCGAGGTATTTCTTTGGCATCCGTGTCTCAGATTTATGGTTCCACCAGTGGCAGTGGAGGGTGGCTTATGAAAGTTACTGTGCAGTGAGAAGTGCACCGTAAAATATAAATCATTCAATGAATTCTCTCACTTCGTCCACTACAATGACCGATTATTGTACTGTGGGTAGATGTCGCTGGGCGTCACAATTGCGTTTGAGTTTTGCATCGAGACGAGTCTTTCGAATTTCCATTATACTGAACTTTATTATGAGGGCTGCCTGCCTTTTTGAGATCGAAACGGCGTACAGTATTTTTTGTGCTTTTCTTCAAGATTATGTATTCATATTTCCCCTGCAGAAATACCACTACTGTAATTCTGGTTTTTTTCTATGCGTGTTCTAACCAAAGGTAGAGCAGATTTTAGTTGAAAAATTTTGCTGATTCGTTGCGTGAGTCATTTCTATGATGTTTCCCGTTAAGGAAGCACAGCTGAAAACGTTCTGAATATAAAACCCAACAATATCAACTTTTGACAGCAAAACAAAATTCTGGAACAATTCTTCAACCTCGATATACAGGTGGACTCTCTCTGAAACTAAATTCAATTTGGAATGGAAAAAATCCGTTATAGAGAGGATTTTGTTGGAGAGAACCCCCAAGAACATGGGGAGAAAACCCTACCGAAAAATTTTTTATCCAGAGAAAATCCTTATAGACAAGAATGCTGCNGCAGAGAGAGAGAGAGTCCACCTGGGTGTTGTACAACAAACCCCGTACAATTAATCCAGTTGCCGATTCACATAGCATACCCAGTCCCAAAAGTAGAATAATTGGCAAGTGAGAAAATTCATCTCATTTATTGAAAATTTCTCACTTCATAGTAAAAAAAAACAATGAACACAAGGTGCTGGCAGGAATACGGTTGCACTAAAATCTCGGCCACATTTCGAGATTAACAGTAGTGTATTCCATTCACTTGAAAGATAATTAGATAGCGCATGAAGCCCAAAAAGTAACCATGTTGTTGAATTTATCTTTCTTGGATTTCAGAAGTTGTACGCAAAAGTGCAGTGATCCCGAAAGCGAAAAACACGAATAAACCATTTTTAGGTTCACTGTTCAATGATAATTGTCCGTTATTTTATGTCATTTGAAGGGTTTTATTTTCGTTGAAAGCATTTCGCTAGTAAACATATAGTAAAAATTGATGCGGGATTGAAACGAGTAAATTAGTTATCCAAAAAATCGTAAAACGCGTCCTGTTCAGCGAACGTCTCATACAAAGAACCGTTTCTTGGAATGAATTGGGTTCTTTCTGTGTATGATGCCCAACTGTAGGTATATTCGTCATCGGTGTGAATCAGAGAATCACGTGGTTGCCAAATGAGTATTTCTTTTCGGCAGTGTTGCGTTCTGTTTCCATCGCGACGCCAAATTAACATTGCTGCTTGAAGAGATGCAAAAAAAAAAATAATAAATAGCACGCGAGTGTTCGGTTTCCAGGTACTCTTACTCACGAAACTTACTCTCTTTACTCCCTGGATTATTCGTGACACAAGCTGTACAGATGTGGGGTGGCGAGGAACGGAGTGAAAAATGGTGTCGCTGCCGGAAGCGATCAAACGGAAGTACGGCGATGATGGCGGCGAAGACGGACCGCAAACCGAGATCTTCGTGCCGCTGAAGTTCTCGTCGGTGCCGCGACCGGCGTCCGTGTTGATTTTGAATAATTGCGGGATCCAAGTTGCGGGGACGGATGATGAGTTGCGAGAAGCATGTGGGGGAATGCAGGAGCTGGACCTGGCGGACAATCTTCTCTCTGGGTGGGAGGAGGTGCGATTTTGCGGCGCTTCACTTGCCTTTTGAACCTGATCAGTGTCTTGAGTCTGAGTAAAGTCGTCCTCTTTAACTCGAACCTCCCTAACTAGAATTTTCTTCTAGTCCCTGCCCGAAATCCCTTTAAATTTTTCAACAATGCGTAGCCTGAACCTCCTTGACTTGAAACGTTTTAACTAGAATCTCCATACCTCGAAATTTTTCAAGACAAGGAAGGACAGGAAATTTAAATAAAGCTTTTGTAGAGAAAAATCAGCAAATTCAAGTGTTCCGTAAAATCTTTGCTTGAGCCTCTGCATCCCATAGACTCATTTATAATTCAGTTTCCTGAGATGAGCCTTTTTTATGTGGTGGGAATGATTACAGACATGCTTTTGGACGCACCGTACACAGTTGCTGCGAACATTTCAGCCCAAATGCCTTCTTTTAAATTTAAACCGAGCATTTTCAGGACAGAACTAGTTTCTTCAATTCTAAACCTCTTTTTCAAATTTTTTGTTGGTCCTTTCAAATGTGACCTAAGATGTCTGACTGTACCACTGAGTAAGACTAGACTCCTATTAGGTACTTCAGGAGGTTCTTATACAGTACCCAATGGTTTAAAATATCTTTACAAATGGATCATTCGAGTATTTTTTTTATTTTAGGTTGCCCGTATTCTCCGCCATACGCATCGGTTGACTTTCCTGAACCTGAGCTTCAATAATTTGGGCGAGTTCCGGGATGACGCCGTGAAACTGCCGCGTCTTCCTTATCTAACCAAGCTGGTACTCATCAGTGTTGGGGCCGATTGGAGAAGTGTACATCGGTTAGTCCGTTGTCTCGGACCTGAACGGTGAGTACGAGTACGGTACTTCATTTTCTTCTTCTTCAGAATTAGCGGAAAAAGTGGATTTCATTAGTTCGCAATCCGGGAAGGTCTTCTTACGATTTTCTGTACTGTATTTGTTCTTTCAACTGACCACATCTCTAAAACTAACGTAGCCCGAGATAACTTAATTAAACCTAACCATGTACTGTACAGGATGAGCGCAGATTAGTTTTTGCTCCGTCTCGTAGATGTCACTTGCGCGAGGCTCGCTTGACGGAAATTCACGTCCAAAAGTAAACAAGACTTTAAATAAAAGTAAATGGAACTGAAAGCACGGGTAAATATAACATAAAATGGGAGTAAATGTAACTTGAGATAAAATTAAATACGACTTGAAGTAAAAGCACTTAAGTAAATAAAACTTGAAAAAAAAATTGGATAAATTCGAAGAAACCTGGAGGCCGTTCGTGCTGAAATAGGAGACAATGTAATATTGTACATGTGAACTTTCTGCAACGATTTTCTCGGTGTAAGGATTTGTTTCGTTTCCATAGTCGCATGGTTCTCTGAAGATGTGATGGGAATTCTCTACGACGAAATTCCCTCTACAAAGATTTTTTTATGATCCCTGGGATTTCGTTGCATAGAGTTTCCGCCTGTATTAAACTAGAAGACTCAGAAAGATTTCCTCCACGATGAATGTGGGATGTAGCAGTTTTGAATCAATGTCTTACAAGTTTTGAGTTTGTGACTACCAGTGACACCTGCACACGCGGAATCAATTTTTTATTGCTATGGACGAAGAAAGAAAATGGTCCGTACAACAAATTTATCTGTATAACGATTGTTCACTTTCAAGTGTTCTCTGCGATTAAGCGCTCTGTGGAACGAATTTTTTTGGTCCCTTGAATTTCGTTGTCGAGGCCCGAGGGAGCCCACATGTATTACGCAGATCAAAATTTTTTCATTGAATATATTACAGTATTTTGAACCCGCATGTGCAGCACTTTACTACATTTATTAGATGAATTGGCAAATTATATTTGTGTGAATTTTTGAATTCTTGTTCGCCAGACTCGAGGAGCTTCACTTGAGCATGAACAATCTCGACAACGTCCTGGTTGACGACATCGAAGAATTCAAGTACGTGAGGAACTTGTACGTGTCCAAGAACCCGCTGAGCAGTGAAGGGAATATTCTGGAGATCGGCACTTTGTTCCCTAATCTCCGCTCTTTGAGCATGGGGGACTGTCCACTGACTGGTTTGGGTGACGTGGCTGTGCTGAAAGAGCGCTTCCGGTTCCTCGAACGGCTCAACATTGACAACTCGTGTCTGCCAACTTGGGATGAGTTGGAGAAGCTGCGGAGTTTGGAGAGTCTTTCGGATTTGCGCATCATGGGCTGTCGGGCATTTGAGGTACAGGTGGACTTTTTCTCTGCAACGATTTTTAGCGCGTGTTCTACAATTTGTCCCCAATTTACCCTCAAGTTTTTCTCGTCGCTGATGATTTTTTTTTTTTTTTCGTGTTGAAAGGAGTACACCGCCCACGAAAGGCGCCAACAAATGGTGGCCAGACTGGATAACGTGACGAGGCTGAATGGAAGTATTATTTCGAGGAGTGAGCGAGAAGATGCCGAACGAGCCTTCGTGCGGCTGTTTTTGAACAAAGAACCGGACGAGCTTCCTGCGAGGTTTGCTGGATATAATTTTTTTCGTGACGGTCAATCGTTTTTTTCATTTTTCTAATATTTTCGATTAATCTATTTATGAATTTAAATCTGATTCGATCAAGAAGCGCGAAGTTGATTTATTTGTTGGCGTAAACTGAAGAAAGTTTGCTCTGCTAAACGAATTTTCGAAGAGGGGTTAGTTCTATTGAAGTGGGAAAAAACCAGAAAGAAAAAAGAATTTTAGAATTCACGTGAAGGTCACTGAAGAAATTAAGGAATATTCTTAGAAGTAAAGAGGAAGACAGCTTATTTCTACGATATTCTCTTGATTCATTCATGATTTTAATCAGATACGATCAAGAAGAATTCGTTTTGGGCGGCCCCAGAAACGATCAAGCACTTCTTTTCTTCAGTCTCCTGGAATTTAAGTTGAAAATGATCAAGAAATGGTCAACTTTTAGCGCTTCAAGATGAATGATTCATTGATTTAAATTGAAAAACACGGGTTGTGTGACACCTTTTGACATTTGCTAGCGAAAAACCTAAATTTAGTCAGAAATTCTAGGTTCCTGGAAAGATAGAGCACAGGGGAATTGAGCCTATGAATGGAATTTTAATTCTGTGCATTAAAAAGGTAGAGGGGTTATTTCATTTGCGTAAACACGGTATTATTTTTAAATAACTTTTTGTGTTTTGAATGGTAAGAGTCCACATGGGTTGCACCTGTTATAAATTCCACAAACTCGCCAGTAACCAAAAAATGAAGGAAGAAAGTGCATGACCCAAGAGGATTCTTTCGTGTTCCAGGTACTTGGAATTGGTTGCGATCCACGGAGAGCTGAACCCTTTGATCGACGTGGACCTGAGCCCACGAACAGAGGTCACAGTGAGCCTCGAATGCGACGAGACCCGGGTTCTCAAGACCATTAGCGTCTACATGACTGTTTACGAGCTGAAACAAGTCGCCGATTCCGTATTCGGAGTGCCGCCGTCTCGCCAAAAGCTCTTCTACGTGGACAAAGACATGGTCGGCGCCCACGGACCAGAAGAGATGCGATTCGGACAAAAGAAACTCTACAGCTATAATGTGCAGTCTGGGGACGAGTTCATTGTTCAACGGAAGGTTTGATCATCATCATCATCATCCACCACACAAGCTGTGCCATTTTTAATTTCGTGTTTCCGCTGGAATAGAAAGAAAAGCGTGTTCCTGGGGATTTCCTTCATTTTTTTTCATTACTGTCTTCCGTTGAGAGACGTGATGTGGGAAATGTGGGTTGTAGTGAGTCTAGCTTCGCGTTTTCTTTCTTATCCTCTACTTCTTGCTTTTATCATCTCCGTGACTCGACTAGGGAAATCGATGCTTAAGCTGGGACTCATGCGTGATATGTGTATCGTGTATGTTTGTTCTGTCACCGATTTTGTTCTTCTGACACCTTTCCCAGGTTAAGAAATATTTAATTTGGAGAACGCGACATTTTCTGGGAACAATGAGAAAGAAATGACCGTGCTTTTTGTCGGAATGTTCAAAAGCGATTATATCCGAATGGTATTGTTTTCGTGATGCCTTGGATCTTCCTGCGAGCTTCAGGAAGTTGTGACCGTGGTTCGAGGATTTTTTTTCTATGTGAGGTTTTGAGGATATTTGAATGCAAAGGCCTTCTTCATCAAGAATTTATGATCTTAAGTAATGGATGAAATTCGTCGAATCGGATAAATTTCGAAGAATGATCGGACGGCTGGAAAAAGGAAGTCCAAGAGGTCACTGTGCATGGAGACATATGTAATCTTTGAGTTTTGGTTTCATTTATCGTTAAGAAAATTGAGTTTTTAGCTGGTTTACTGCTGGGGAAAGTCTGACGAAGTTTTCTCTTTATTCCACTGAACTGACGTATTTTTCTACCTGAAGTTTATCTCAAGAGCAGTCGCGGTACAAGTTCCAATTTATACTGAGTCATTTTAAGTTTCCCCTGTTCTTGAATTCCTTTGAAAGTTTTTAAAAATTCCGAGGACCAATTCTTGGCAGTCTCCTTGCTTCGAATAATTTTTTTTAATGCAACGTGGTCTCTTTAAATTGATATTTTATTGACTTATGCTTTTCCGCAAAAATTTTAAAAACTGTAGAAAAATACCGGCCTTTTCATTGCGCAGTTATTTCTTTGACACTTTTTTTTGTATGACGGTTACGTATATTGTGGTTACTAATTTCGAAGCATAAATTCTATGTATTAAATAGAGATCTTGGATATTTCTTGAGTAGGGCGTTTTGCGCTACGGGTAATAATCGTTCTTGAGTTCATTTCGAAAAATCGAAGATTGTGATTCTGTGTAGCTTAAGAGCCGTGGTTTCAGTGTTAGTGGTCCACAGCTTTCATTTCAACAGCTGTACCCATCGAAGTTGAAGTGGAGGAAAGTAAAGTGATTACATCTGTGTTTATGGGGGAAAAAAGCCATTTTTGTGAATGGTTGCTAGTGTGTGAGTTTGAAAAAATCCGTTCCTTGAGACGTGGAGGTTGTATCATTTACGTGCGGTACTTTCTCACTTGGAACTCTGCTTTTATTTACTCCTGCTGAGCAGTTCAACTTGCTTGTTTTGGCATCACTGTGCTGAAGGGCTCATGGATCCTCTTTGAATTTTAAAACAGGATTTGGAAAGATTGCGAAAAAAATTGAGAAAAGCTCCTGGAAAATTTGAAATAGGATCTTTTGATGGATTTTTTGAAAATTCGGAAGTAAGACCTGGAGAGATTTGTGTTTCGTCCCTGGTGTAGGAGCTTTATTTGCGTGGGATTTATTGGTCGGTTGTGCTAGTAAACGAGTATTTGATGTAACATACATGTATTGGGAAAAGCTGGGTTTGAAAAAAAAAAAAAAAACAGAAAGAATGTTTTAGTGAATTTACGATACTTGGTGTTAGCTGGTATGAATAAAACGTGCACAAGCCAGAAAAAATGCGAGAGAGTCTTCTTGCAAATTTCCAGGAAATCAATGAAATTTTGCGAGGACACGTGTCCTGCTTGTGGGATCACTGTGATCCTTCGATTTGATTTCTACGAGTTTTTCCCCTCTTTGTACAGTGATGCCAAAGGAGTTGATGTTCGCGACAGAAACTTTTTGAAATGTACTGAAGATGTGGAATTCGTTGATTGCTGTTGTAATGTCAAGACCAAGGCAGCCATGATGAAGTCGAGAAAACTTTTCTCACATCGTGTACCTGGATCCATTTACGGATTGTATCATTTCATGGGGATTTTTTTATTATCGGCCCGATTGTCGGGCGTCTTACGGAACAAAATGGTGTTTTTTCCCCGCTAGGCTTTAGGGAGTGTTGTGGAAGGAACTAACTCGGATGTTTTTTTTTTTCGGTGTGAGAAGATTTTTAGGAATTTTAACGGTGTGCGTTCTTTCGCATTTTTATGGTCCCTATGCAGGGCATCTCACTCCTTTCTCCTGTGGTGATACGCGGGAAACGTGCGTGTTAGTCTGGTGTGGTGGGACGATAAATTGTTCAGAACGGATTATTTCGGATGCCAAATATATCTCGTTTTATCTGTGACACCGGCTGCAATTTTCGAGATATATTTTAGAAAGAAAGATGCCTGTGCTTTATTGTTCGGTGATTTTCGAGTGCAGCCCCTCCCCCCCCCCCCCTTTTTGGCGTTCCAAATTTGTGAAATTTAACCTGAAAGGCATGTGGGTCCTTTCCTGTTATCTCTGTACCTCATTCCTAGACCGCACTACCATCCAGGGACGAGTTCATAATCACGACGACCAACCAGAAACTGTGAATTTAATTTTTCTGCATTCTGCTGAAACTGATTTTGGGAGGCGGTTAGGTAAAGATTAGGTAAAGTTAGGTTAGGTCAGGTTATGTTAGTAACAAATATCTTTTAATTAATACAACCTGACACAACCTAACTTTACCTAACCGCCTCCCAAAATCAGTTTCAGCAGAAACCCGAAGAAAGCAGAAACTGATTTTGGAAGGCAGTTAGGTGAAGTTAGGTTAGGTCAGGCCAGGTTAAATTGGTCAGAGGGAAGGTACAGAGATAACAGGAAATTAGGTACAGAGATAACATGAAATTAGGTACAGAGATAACAGGAAAGTACCGGCATGTGGATAATCTGCGCTTCTGTCGGGGATTTCTGAAAATTTTGTGTAATGTTTGGTCAAGTTTCAGAAGAAATTTTGTGAAGTGATGGAAGACATGAGGCACCGCGTGGAGGCAATGAATGATGATGAGTTGAGGGAAGCGTTGTTGGAATACAAGGATGCGTCTACGCTTGGGCCGATAAATCGTGAGTGTTTTTTTTTTTTTTGCAAGTGCAAGTTTGCCTTTCATGTGTTTTTTGCAATTAGTGTTCTTGAATTTATTCGAAAGACCTTCTTGTGCAATGTCGAGGTATTAATACTCTTATGCAGTCAAACCTGAAGAGACTAGCAAAAAAAGGTTCGAGTTGGAACGGTTTTGAGTTGGGGAAACGAGCGTTTTTGTTGAGGGGTAAGAAAGATTTGCAGGAAATTGTACTTAGCGATATTCTCGGTCTTGAATCGCTTCTTAAATGAGTTTACAGGAGGCTGAACTTGGAGGCAAGGGTTTAATTAGCCCACGTAAGTCTTTTTCTTATATTCAAAACACATCAAGATGCATTTTCATTGCTTTTCTCTGTCCTGTGTTGATGAAGTCATATCCGATAGGCCTCCGGAAAATTCGATTTATGGAGGGGTTGAGGCGGAAAGTCTTCGATTTACGGAGGTTTTTAATTATTTTTTCTTTGGGAATTCAGAGAGGGACATGAAATTAGCGAGATTCGAGTTTTTGAGGCTCAGTTTTATTTCTTTTTTTTGTGTATGAGAGGGTAAATCAAGTTCTCATCCCTTTCAATTGTTCTGTTGAGCATGAAGAGGTGAATTAATTATTATTTTTTCCTATTCCAGCCTCAACAAGGAAGGTTTACGAGAAGTTGCTGCTTCAAGCCCAAGGATTCTTCGAGGATGCCGATCAAGCTTTGAAGAATGATTCTCAAGATGATGATGATGAAGCGGAGGGTTTGAATGACGTTGGGGACTATTCAGCTTCTCAACGGTGAGCTTGAAAACGACATAAATTTTCTTTGTTCGAGAAAAAAGAAATATCTATGTTTGGAGCGTGAGTTAATTTTTGTGGAACAGTGACGTTCTTTCAACGGGGAGTTCTTTATTTGCCGATGAATCCAAGGGAATTACTTCGATATCGACATCTTTTTTATATCCGTGTCGTGATCTGAGGAAAGCTAAGCATTACTTCTGAGCAAAGCAGAAATGTCGTTCATAGTTATGTAATAATTAACAAATGACGTGCTAATCCTCAAACTTGCTTCGTGAAATAGTTCAAAACATGTGATCCAGAAGAAACTGATCATCTATCGTGTGCAATTTTACACGCTACTCAACCTGACCAACGCTCAACACACTCCTACCCCATTCAAGCAAGTTAAAAAGAACTATCAATGTTTAAATTTTTGGAAATTCTACTTTTTAAATCACGGAGTCCGGGACCTCTGAGGTGTTCTAGTTATCTAGTAGTTGTGGAAAGAATATCTTCATGCTCTGATTTTTGGGAAACGCTGAATAATTTCAAGAAGGTTTCCTTTTTTTAAATCTTCAATTTAAACTGTTACGTATGAATTTCTAAGAAGCCGGAGTTGAAATTTTTATGAGCTGTATTTTTGAATTCTGTTCAGAAGAATCCAAGTTCTGTCAGTGGTTAAGGAATTTCGAAAGTGTAAAACGTATTCGTCATTGACGCCGTATTTCGTCAATTTTCAATTTTTTCTATTTTGGAAAGAGATTGATTGATATATTTTGGATATACTGGACATTTGAAGGACTGAGCCGGTGCAGCGTCGAGGGCCTCGTGTGTTGGGACCCGAGGGTGATGCGGATGTGAATGCCAATTATGCGCGTGATCGAGCGGAACCCGTGGAACCCGGTGGCGTGTCTCCCGTGCAAGGGGTCGTTTTTGCCATTTTCATCATTGCCGTCGTTTTCTACCTCTTCATTGTGAGTCACATAGCATTTCCCTAAGTGTGTTTTTTTCTCTCATTTTATTCATATTTTTGAAAAAAAAAAATACTGGTAAGTACACCTTGTCTTCTGGGTACGTTAACGTACTTGAGATGCCCTGCAGTCTGACTAGAATGGAATATGATTTTATAGATTTTGAAGCTTTTTGTCTTTATCCATGATAACGTTGTTATGTTGTATGTCGATTTGAAGGAAAGCTTATTTTTTGCAACGGGTTTTCTGTAATCAATGGAATTAATATCATGATGTGAAGTTGAACGGTTCAAAATCTGGGGAATTTCATTTATTTTGAATTACTGTAGTTCATCTTCATTTTCTTCAAGGTTTTTTTTTTTCAACTTCCGTAGTTCTAAACAAAATCGCTTCTTGGACCAATTATGAGCGCATTAGTTCGTTACAAGGGGCCATATCAACTATAATATGGCATTTAAGAATAAATATGAACTCAAAACGCTTGAAAAAATTAAAAAAAATCGAAATTACATCAGAGTTCAATTATGGGGTATGCTTTTGATTTTTTTTTTCACCCTGGCAAAATAGTATTTTCTGCGTTTATTATTTTTTAAAACACGATATCGGCTATGTTATCTTTCTCATGAGTTATGGCGTGTTTTGGCAGAGAGTAATGTAAAAGATCTTTTTCTTATTTTAATAAGTTTCTGGTCATAATTCGATTCTAATCTTCTGCTGTTGGAAATTATTATTAACGAACCTTCACCATTTTTAACAGACCTGGTGGGAACTGTTCCTAATACTAAAAATAAACCGATACGTAACTCTACGGTATTAAATATAAAAATCCCAAAGTTGCGTAGGGCACCAACAGGAAGGAAGAAAGCCGGATCACCTCCACATACTCGAGCCGTTGAAGAAACCGACTGTGTTTTACTTTTCTTCTGCTTCTTTTCGACGAAAGAAAACACGTGGAACGAAAAAAAAACACAAACACACATCTTCCCCACTTACTTCGAGCGACACGTAGAAGATCGGAGGGCTAAGGGAAGAAAGCATAAAACCAAATTCTGATTTAAAACGAAAAGAAAGAAATGATCCTGTCTTGAAGTTTTTGTTGCAGGATGAAAGGATCTCTGCTGAACGCGAGGTGCTTGATTTCCAATGGCGATTTCCGAGCCGGGAAAACAGTTTTGGACGGAGTGATTGAAGCTTTGCGCGATAATGGAAGATCCAGGTTAGATCCTCTTTATTTATTTATTTTTTGTGTTGCTCGTGTATTTGACTGAAAGCTTTTTATAAATTTGAATAAACAAATGAAAAGTGAAATTGGGATCCGTTTGTAGGTGTACATGTACGTGACGAATTTCCTTACTCCTAAGAGTACAGTACACTAAGATCCTCAGTATAAAAGCGCTTTACTACATATTGCGTACGTAGTAGGTACTGCTACGTTTTTAGATTTTAGCTGACTTTTAGGTTCCTTAAAGTTTGAGCTAAAGGAGTCGCTTTCATAAGTTCACGCTGCTATATTTACTATTGAAACTGCCCATTGACTTCTTATAACTCAGGGGCACTTATTTAAGACGAAGACAACAAGTAAAACTTGGCGGCTTGAAGCAAAACGTTAAGTCAACTTGTATCTTTTTTTTTTTTTCAAAAATGTTCTTTTCCTGACGCTTTTTATTTTTTTGCTGGTCCCTTGAAGCTCGTCGTGAAGGGGGTGAACATTTAAGGAGCATGGCGGACATTTTCCACGAACGAGATTATGTCAATAATCAATTTTGTCAATTACGTTATATTTTTGATTAAAATCATCAGACGTATTATGCGGAATATTTCGAGATAGAACTGAGAACTTCGTCGTGTGATTTTGGAATACTTAATCCCTCTGAAGAAACTGCTTGAATTGTTCTTAACTTTGACGGGAAGTATAGAATATTTGTATACAGTTTTTATATATTTAGTTCGAAATTTAGAATATTTAATCCCTCTGAAGAAACTGCTTGAATTGTTCTTGTTTGTTTTAGTGTTTCTATAGAATTACCCTACTTCTGTTTGAAACCCTGTAA